GTCTTTATTTCTGGTTGGCCAAAAGCTCTTATTATCAATTTTGTTAATTTTTTTTCACACCTGTTAATATGATCTTGTGATTCTCCTTCTTTATCTTGTTGATAGGATAGATTGATTTTTGAATGTTGAACCAGCCTTGCATGCCCGGGACAAATTCCACTTGGTTGAAAACATCTCACTTTTTATACATTGTTGGATTTGATTGGGTAATATTTTGTTGAGGATTTGTGTACCTATAGTTCATGAGAGATACTGGCCTGTGGCCTTTTTTTTCTTGTGATGTTTTTGTCTGATTTTGATATTAGAATGAGTTAGAATATTGAATAGAATGAGTTAGGAAGACAGTATAGAATGAGTGAGTGAGTATGCTTTCTGATTTGGAAGGTTATTTAATTGTTGATTCAATTTGTTAATAGAAATAAACCTATTTAGATCATCTATTTCATCTGTGAGTTCTGGCCAATTATGTCTTTCAAGGATTGGTCCATTTCATCGATGTTATCAAATTCATAGGCATGAAGTTGTTCATAATATTCCTTTATTGTCCTTTTTATGTCCATGGGTTTGGTAGTGATGTCCCCTCTTACATTTCTGATATTAGTAATCTGTGTCCTCTTTTTTTTTTTAATTTATTTAGCTTGGCTAGAGGTTTACCAATTTTGTTGATCTTAGCAAAGAACCAGCTTTTGCTTTCATTGATTTTCTCTATTAATTCCCTGTTTTTAATTTCATTGCTTTCTACTCTAGTTTTTATTATTTCTTTTCTTCTGCTTACTCTGGACTTAATTTGCTCTTCTTTTTCTAGTTTCCTAAAGTGAAAGTTTATATTACTGATTTTAGGTCTTTTTTATTTTCTATTATATGCATTCATTGCTATCAATTTTCCTCTAAGCACCACTTTTTTTTTTTGTGGCTGAATCCCACAAATTTTGATAAGTTTTGTTTTCATTTTCATTTTGTTCAAAATACTTAAAATGTTCTCTTGAGATTTCTTCTTTGACCCATGTATTATTTAGAAGTGTATTATTTAATCTCCACATATTTTAGGATTTTCCAGTTGTTTTTTTGTTACAGATTTCTAGTTTAATCCCTCTGTGATTTGAGAGCAGACAATGTATGATTTCTATTCTTCTAAATTTGTTAAGATGTGTTTTATGGCCCAGAAGGTGGACTATTTCGGTGAATGTTCCATGTGAGCTTGAGAAGAATGTATATTCTGCTGTCATTAGGTGAAGTAGGTTATAGGTGTCAGCTGATTGGTGGTGGTGTTGAATTCAATGGTGTACTTACTGATTTTCTGCTTATTGGATCTGTCCATTTCTGATAGAGGGGTGTTGACGTCTCCAGTGATGATAGTGGATTCATCTATTTCTCATTGCAGTTCTATCAGTCTTTGCCTTATGTATTTGAAGCTCTTTTGTTAGGCACATATATGTTAAGGATTGTTATGTCTTCTTGGAGAATTGACCACTTTGTCATTATATAATACCCTTCTATTTCTGATAACAACATTCCTTTCTTTGAGGTCTATGCTGCCTGAGATTAATATAGCAACTTATGCTTTCTTTTGATTAGTGTTAGCATGTTTTCTCTTTCTCTATCCATTTACTTTTAATCTTTATATGTCTTTATACTAAAGTGGGTTTTGTTTTTGTTTTGCTTTGTTTTTTTGAATCATACTTCAATTTATTGGCATTGTCAGGCTGTGAACAAGACAGGTATTTTTTTCCCATGAAGGGAGATCTTTTTCAATCTGCCCTAACATGTGCCCACACATCGTCACCTGGAAAATGCAGCGTTTCAAGCTTCAGTCAGAGTAGATTATTCCTTTTTCACTTTCACGTTTTTTTGCTGCTGCTGGAAGTCTTCTTGGCATTTGTTTTGAATTCTATCATCAGTGCATCTCTCACTGCTTTTGCACAAATCTGGGAGTATCAGATGTAGCTGAGTCCAGTCTGTCACCAGTACACCACCACGATGTCTCAAGAGTGAGTGCCTCTGGCCAACTTGCAAGGACATGTCAATGCTGGCTTAGTGGGCAGCCCAGCTACAGGAAGATCAGGCCTGAGAAACAGAAGGGGCAGGACTCTGGATCTGCCAATCCTGCCACCTCTTGCCCCTATCCATCTCCCTAATGGTTCCTGTTATCCACCAGGAGCCAAAAGGGTCTCGTTTTTTTTTTATCCATTCTGACAATCTCTGTCTTTTAATTGGTTCATTTAGATCATTGGCATTCAAAAATGTTTCTTGATATCATTAGAATATTATTTACCATATTTGTTACTGTTTTCTATTTGTTGTTCTTGTTCTTTGTTGTTATTATTGCCTTACACTCTTTTTCTGCCTTTTGTGGTTTAATTGAGCATTTTATTTTCTCTCCTTTCTTAGTATGTATGGTATACTATTTTTTTAAACTTTTTTTTGTGGTTGTTCTAGATTTTGCAATATACATTTACAACTAATCCAAGCACATTTTCAAATAACACATTTTCAAATAACACATTTTCAAATAATACTGCTTCATGTGTAGTGTGAGTACCTTATATAACAAAATAATCCTAATTCCTCTCTCCTATCCCTTGTATCATTGTCCTTCATTTCACTTATATATAAGCATTCAGAAGCATATATATACATAAGAAATATACATAAGCACACAATTGAATACATTGTTGTTATTATTATTATTTTGAACAATGTGTTATCTATTAAATCAATTAAGAGTAAAAAAATAAGTTTTTATTTTACCTTCACTTATTCCTTGTCTGATGCTCTTCCTTTCCTTATGTAGATCTAAGTTTCTGACATATATTATTTTCTTTCTCCCTCAAGAACCTTTGTGAATATTTCTTGCAAGGCAGAACTACTGGCAACACATTCCCTCAACTTGTGTTTGTCCAAGAAAGTCTTTGTTCCTCCTTCACGTTTGAAGGATAATTTCTCAGGATTCAGAATTTTAGGTTGGTGGGTTTTTTTCTTTCTCTCAACTCTTTAAATATCTCACTCTATTCTTGCTTCCAGTCACTTTTTTTTTTTAGGTTAAAGAAATGAGCAACATCAAAGATATATATTGCAACTTCATTTGCTGGTCAGTGACATTAGTGACTTTTTGCTGAATAAGATGGTAGTTATTAAATACTGGAATAGTACTTCCTCAAATTTGGCATGCTATTTACAACATCAAGGCTACAGTCATGATATACTTTTTTTTTAAGATTTTTTATTTATTTTTTAACAGAGAGAGAGACAGCGAGAGAGGGAACACAAGCAGGGAGCATGGGAGAGGGAGAAGCAGGCTTTCCGCCGCGCAGGGAGCCCGATGTGGGACTCGATCCCAGGACCCTGGGATCATGACCTGAGCCGAAGGCAGATGCTTAATGACTGAGCCACCCAGGTGCCCAGTCGTGATATACTTTCAAGTGTAATCTGAATCTTTATCTTTTCTTTATCACTTTCTTACATCTATAAAATCAACAAAACATTAAAACCAAAGCTCTGGTTCTATCATTTGCCAATAGGCTCCCACCCTGCCTGATTTCAAGCTACCAACATGGTGTCATTGAAGGTAGTACAGCAGCCCGTATGATATCTGGTATTTTATTTCCACCATAGAGATACAATAGTGGTAAATGTCCTCAAGAGCATAGATGATAGTAAAATGTTGTGAACTAATTAGAAAGTAATGAGTTTTGAGTTTTTATTCCCTTAGTTTTAATATAATTTACTTAATTGTAAATTGATACAATTTGAATTCTTAATAATGGTAATATTTATCAATCACCCAGCTCACAAGATTCCTGAAAACTTAACAATCGGCTCTCACTAGTCGGTACATGCTGGCTCCCTCACACCACCAGGTAGTATTGTGGGGAGGATGCTTGAGTGTCACATGAGAGAGGGAGAAAAGCAGTGAAGATAAAGAGTAAGTTCACATATATCACCAGCTCTTGTTACCCTAATTTCCTCAGGAAGGCCCATTGGAGAGTGCCTCTGATCTGTTAAAATGGGCTTTTTTTTTTTTTTAAGATTTTTTATTTATTCATTTGAGAGAGGGAGAGACAGAGAGCCCACACAGGGGGAGAGGGAGAGAGAGAGAGGGAGAAGCAGACTCCCTGCTGAGCTGGGAGCCGGACATGGGACTTGATCCCATGACCTGGGATCATGACCTGAGCTGAAGGCAGATGCTCAACCATTTGAGCCACCCAGGCGTCCCTAAAATGGACTTTAAAAACAAGAGTCTAGCCTCTCAAAGTAAAAGATGGTAAAAGCATCTTTCCAGTGTTTTCATTTTTATGGCTTAACTCATGCAAAAGTATGTCTTTCTTCTGCCAGTTTTAGTCCCTTCCCCTCCACAAAAAGTTAGACACAAGCTCTGAAATAAAGGTACCCGCTCCAAACACAACCCAGAGCTCATTAAATTCTACCACACTGCACCTAGCTGGGAAATTGGGTTTCTGCCAACTGATCTGTCCTTGCCTTCCCCATGTCTCTGTGGCTTTGGCATCAGGACCTGACTGCATGTGAAGTTGTGGAACAAATCAAACATGAGACGTAAGAACTCTTTAACGTTTAGTCATCCAAGTTCAGCCTTGAACTAACTGACCCAGATTTCGGGACGGTCTGACAAGACTCCATCTCTTCTTTGCACTCTAAGAAGAGTTACCAGACAGAACTACCAGGGAAGGCAGGGGTGGGTAGGAGGGGGGTAAATTTCTGCTCAAGGCTGGGTTTGCTGAACTACTTTCCCGTCTTTAGCAGTCTGAGCATTTGACACGGACTTCTTGGGAACAACAAAGTGATTTAAAGCCTGAAAGGAGATGAGCAATCCTCGAGACTCAGGCAGAAAAAGTCCCAGTGATACAGGAAGCCATCTGGTTCCTGATGCATAACTAGGCGGCAGAGGCACCTCTGCCTGACACGGACCTCACTCACTCTGTCGTGGCATCTGCAAGCAGCTGCTGGGCTCCTCAAGCGGCTCCCTTCCCTCTCTTCACCGGCTGATGGATCCTAAGGGGCTCTTCTCTTTGAACTTCCTGCTGTTTCTCTCCCTGGCTTTTGAGCTGAGCTGTGGAACAGGTGAGTGTTCATCTGTTTGAGGATGTGAGTCCCTCCATTACCTGCCAGGAGTCAGAGAGCCCATGGATGGAGAGAAGTCGCAGGGGCTGGGGGCTGTGGTTTGGCTGCCTCTCTCTCAGGGCTTGGCTCAGAGTTCCTTCTGACTCTTTGAAAAGGGAAGGAATATTGTGGGTTCCTGGATGCCAAGGCTCAGCCCCACCAATCCTAGTTTCCAAGGAAAGCAGGAGCCCTCAGCCAAAGGCACTGGTCACATTCTAGACCAGGCTCTCAGGGTGGGACGTTCTAGTCAAGGTTCTGGTTGAGTGGTTGTTTTCGCCTCTGGCAAAGACCCAGGCTAAGGGGCTGAGAAGGACGGATGGAGCTTGGGGAGAAGATGACTCCTACATCCCTGCCCTTGAAGGGGATCCTCACACATGTGAGCAAACCAGAGCTATGGTCCAACAACAAGGAAGGGCTGTAGGGGGAAGGGAGGGTAGAAGTGAAGTGAAAACCTCAGGCATCAGCTGAGAACAGACAGTGGCCACAGTGTGATCATACTGGTGGCTACTTTCCTGGAAGAGAACCTCCCAAGGCAGTGAGATAGGGAGAGGCCAAGATTTCTGGAAATGCAAATTGGGAACTCTCAAGGGTCAGGGCAGCTCCGGCGGTAGAGCCAGACACACAACACAGGGTTTGGGGCTGGGCTTTGCTCTTGTGTTTCTGGCTTGTGTTCCTCTCAGAGGTGAGCTGGGGTTCTCTGTTAGTAGTATCAGGGCTATGAGAAACAGTATTTGAGAAAGAAAAAGCCGTACAAGGAGTGGACTTTGGGCTCAGTGAGGAGTGTTGAAGTGCCTGGAGGCCGGTTACACTAGAGGAGGCAGCCTGGAGTGGAAGCAGCATTAGGGAAGGGGGGAAATCCTGAGGCTCTGGGTGTTTTGCACTTGGGGTTTTCAAGACCGCAAATCCATTAAGGACTTTTCCAGGAAAAGTCCAGAGATACACTAGGGATGTCGGAGAGGCTGTGCATGGGATCTATCTTTTGCCAGACTCCCAGATAAAGAGGACATTTCTTGACCCCCTGTTTCCCTCAGAATCAGGCAGACCCATAGCTATTGCTTTCTGAGGTCTAGGGAAGGGGTGATCGAGCTCAGGGTTCAGAAAACCAAACTGAACCACTTTAAGCCACCAAAGAGAGAGCCAAGACTTCCCAGTGCACCTCATTTGTGACTCTACCATTTGGGGATATTTTTCAGTGACTATCAGGAATGATGGGGTTGAACAGTGGGCTGGACTTTTTAAATCTCTGTGCTTGCTTGCCTGCTGGCCAGCCTGGCCCATGGTGTGCCCAAGGCAGCAGGTGCTGACAGCACTCCACTGGAGGTTTGGAGTTCCCTTGTTAGTGAGAAGCAGTACAGCCCCGTGGAGGCTTTGTGACCAACCTTTGGCATCTGTCTTCCTTGCATTCTGTTTTCTCTGAAATATGCACATTTTTAGTGTTTTTATTTTTAAATACACACCCTTTTGTGAAACCCCAATTAAACACAGATGGAAACGCTTTGCAAGTGGGACAGGTCAACCATGACAGTTACTCAACCAAGAAGTGTGATTCTTGTAAAATCAGGACCCACCCTCCTTCCCATCTCTACTCAGCTTGCCTTCCAATTCCCTGTCAGAATTGTAAAATCAAAAGTCCACATGTCCCTTCCCCCAATAAAGTGAATTTTCCATTCCCTCAATGGTATTTTTTGAAAATAGACTTTATTTTTGGAGAAATTTTGGGTTCACAGCAAAAGTGAGCAGAAGGTACCAAGATTTCCCCCTACTCCCACACATATATAGCCTCCCTATTATAAGCATCCCCCACCAGAGGGATGCATCTCTTACAACTGATGAGTTGCCTCAGGGGGATTTTGTATTCCTCCATGTGGGTCTGCCCCACCTCCTTCACACACATGAAGGACAAGTGTGTGGGTTCCAGACTTGACCCATCTTTGTTCACTGGGCCATTCTATCCCAAGATGTAGATCTAAGCACTTCTCAAAAGATTTAATACTGGGATACTTTTTTTCAAGAGATTTAATACTGGGATATAATGCCATCACCTTCACATCTCCAGCACCAGACTGGAAATCAGAACATCAGGGCTCATTGGTTTTATCCATAGACTGACTTTGGACAATCCCATTGAGTAACTATCTATTAAGGACACGTGATGTGGCAGGCATTGTGCGAGGTGTGGGGGAAGCAAAATGAACATCCACAGCCTCTGCCCAGCACCTGACACAGTATCTGGCACATCAGAGCCCTTCCACAAATGATTGTTGAATGAATAATAATAGTATGCACAGCTTGCTTGCAATATACCAGGCACTGTCCTGAGTGCTCTGTGTATTATTCCTTTAATTCTCACACCAACTCTATGAGATATGTTATTATTGTTACCATTACAATTTTATAGAAGAAGGCATGAGAAGCACAGAGAAGTTTAGCACTTTCTCTGTAGTCACACAGCTTGACTTCAGAGACCTCAATAAATGAACCTGGATAAACTTATGTTCGGTGGGATTGGGAGGCATGCTAAAATTTGTATCCAGGTCCCATGGTAAAACTTAGAATATGCTATCTATAATTGGAACATATAAGTTGATTTTAATTGAATTGAAATGAAGTGCAGGAATATTCAAAATGTGAGAGAAGTTGATAAAATTATAGAAGGAAGTAGAGGGCATATGGAAGTATTTGATCTGGAATTGGGAAAGTGGATAGGAACTTCTTTCATCATGTAAGTTTTCATTTAATTTTTTTATTAACTAGTTTGTTTATTGGAAGAGTATCACACATATGTTTATTTAAAACTTCAAAAGTACAAAAGGGTATATACAATGGAGACAAATCCCCTTATTGTCCCCCCTGCTGGAGGCAACTGCTATCACCAGTTCCTTGTGTATCTTCCCAAATATATACACTGGATTTTTGTAAGACTTGAAGAGAGTATTCCAGATGAAGGCACCAATGCAGAGGTGAGGTGTTGCGAGTGTTCAGGGGGATGGCAAGTGATCTGCTGAGCTTGAAGCCTAGGGTCCATAGCCAAAGCTTTTCCATCTGTTCAGCTGGCAAGCAGGGAGAAGGGTCCCCATCATTTCTCCCCACACTGTACTTCTTAGGGATGTTTTACAGATGAAACAGAGTACATTCTGATTTTGGAGAAGGGGGGAACTTAGACTCTGTAGCCATTTGCTCACTCATTCAGTTTATCATTCTCTTGAGCAACAAGGATTTACTGAGTTTCCTCTATGTCCCAGGTGGGTGTTAGGACTATAAGTGGACAAAACAGACACAGTCACTACTCTCAGAAGCTTATTCCTGAGTAAGGATGACAGGCATAGAATCAGAGTTAAAAGCGTGATGAGTGATGTGAAGGGGACATACAAAAGCACTGGAGGGAGGCCTAGATGAGGCTAGGGGTCAGAGGCAGAGACGGAAAGGATGGAAGGAGTTAGTCAAGAAAAAAGAGGGCAGTAACTGGCGTTCAGGCTGGGGCATGGAAATGCAAGTACTCTGAGTCAGAAAGACCCAGCAGCATCAAGGAACGGGGCGGCGGGGGGGGGGTGCGGGGGGCGGGCAGGGTTGAAGAGGATGGCTCTTGGGACTGGAGGTTAAAGAACAGCTTCTCTTCCGGGGCCTAGATTTGCGTAAGAAGTGTGAGGACTGGAGAGACCCCCGCCTCCTCTCCCTGAAAGCTATGGCGAGAGGCTGTGAGCCCATGTGAACGTGTTATGACCTGGCAAAACAAAGCGAGTGGTTATCATTAGGTGGGAATCCCGTCTTGTGAAGGGTTGGCCAAGTGGGGCTCATTTCAGGAAAATATCCATGGGTCCATGTGAATCATTCTACTTTCTAAGTAGAATTACCCTTGAAGAAAGTGAGTTGGTGTTAATGGCTACAAATGTTTCCTCCAGACTCTTGAGTAAACAGGGCTGACTGAATCACAGCCCGCTGGAAAACACGCATCAGGCAGTAGGATGTTTCAGGAGCGGGGACTCCACTTGAAGGGTTCTGTGAACCACTTTAAAGCCCCCACTTGTTTTTCCACTTGTGCTTAGGTGGTGCTGGTTTCTGGTACCCCTTCCAGACCCAGCCACTCACACACACTCGGTTGTAAGATCACCAAGCTTCATGTGGGTTGCAGGGTGTGAGGGTTTCTTCCTAACCGATTTTTGATCTCACTCCCCGTGCGTCAGTGTGCAGATGCTGCCCAGACTGCCCTCGCATCTGCTCCTTTTCTTTTTCTCTTTCCCTTCCCATTTTCTTTCATTGATTTCTTTGGTGGTGGTGGTGGCTCCTCCCTATTCTGTCTTACATCCTCCCTTCCCCTCACTTTTCCTTAATCGTTACTAGTCTCCACCAATCTCACCGTAATTTCAGCCCCGGTGGACTGCCTATTGTTTTCTCCCAATCTCTGGATCTCTAGCCTGATACTAGCTGGGCCCTTTATGGGCCCGTGTTGGGATTTCAGGGCATTTTGGTATCAAGAACATCTGGACCAGTTTGTCCAATTCTCCAACAGCCCATGTGAGCCACAAGTCAATGGTGTCCTTTCTAGGTGACTGCACTCCTTAAGCCGGTGGTTTTGTTTTACTTCTCTGGCTTCCTTATCAACTAAAGCAATCTATGCTCTCTGAGTCATGGGCTCATTCTTTTATGAGAATTAGCTTATGGTTAAGTTCAGTTACATAATGGACAAAGCTAAATGAAAGAGATTTTAGTTAGGTAATGTAGCTTTCAGCACTCATATTTTGAACAGGTATTTATTTATTTATTTATTTATTTAAAGATTTTATTTATTTATTTATTTATTTGAGAGAGAGAATGAGAGAGAGAGCACATGAGAGGGGGGAGGGTCAGAGGGAGAAGCAGACTCCCCGCTGAGCAGGGAGCCCGATGCAGGACTCGATCCCGGGACTCCGGGATCATGACCTGAGCCGAAGGCAGTTGCTTAACCAACTGAGCCACCCAGGCGCCCCTGAACAGGTGTTTATTAAACGCCTACCATATACATGTTTTGTGGGTTAACTATTGTTGTAGGTCTTAGACACAAAACAATGAACAGAGGGGCGCCTGGGTGGCTCAGTCGTTAAGCATCTGCCTTTGGCTCGGGTCATGATCCCAGGGTCCTGGGATCAAGCCCCGCATCGGGCTCCCTGCTAGGCAGGAGGCCTGCTTCTCCCTCTCCCACTCCCCCTGCTTGTGTTCCCTCTCTCACTGTGTCTCTCTCTGTCAAATAAATAAATACAATCTTAAAAAAAAAAAACAATGAACAGAATGAAATTCTTCCTCTTAAAGAGTTTGCATCCTAACCAGGGACACAAAAATAAAATAAAATAATGTACGATGTATCATCTGACAGGGGTAAGTGTGCAGTCAGAAGGGGTGTTTATTTTATATAGGATGGTCAGAGCAGGTTTCTCAGAGGAGATAATTTTTTATTGTTATGTTAGTCACCATACATTACATCATTAGTTTTTGATGTAGTGTTCCATGATTCATTGTTTGCGTATAACACCCCATGCTCCATGCAGAACGTGCCCTCTTTAATACCCATCACCAGGCTAACCCATCCTCACACCCCCCTCCCCTCTAGAACCCTCATGTTTGTTTCTCAGAGTCCATCGTCTCTCGTAGTTCATCTCCCCCACCGATTTCCCCCCCTTCATTCTTCCCCTAGAGGAGATAATTTTTTGAAAATAAAGTGAGGGAGTGCACTATCCTGATATATAAAGAAAAAAGATATCTAGAGAACAGCAGAAGCAAAAGCTCTGAGGAGGGAATGTTCTTGATGAGGTGTTTGAGCCAGTACAACCATAGTGCAGTGAGTGGAGAGAGAGGGCAGGAGAGGGGTCAGGGATGGGTTTACCCAGAGTCTTTGAAGCCATAACAAAGCCTGTGGATATCTTTTCTATGGGTTTCAGAAATCCCTGGAGGTTTTAAAGCAGGGGAGAGACAAAATCTGACACAGGTTTAAAAAGATGACTCTGTCTACTGCACGGATGCCAGGAGATTAGTTGGAAGCCAATGGCTATGTCAGGCTGTGACTCCGGTGGCAGAAATGAGGGAGGTTTGAGGTGCTTGGATTGCAGACATGTTCTGAAGTTAGAGCCAGGATTTGCTGATAGACTCCGTAAGGAGTATGAGAGAAGGAAATGAGTCAAGCATGATTCCAAATGTTTTGATCTCAGAATTTGGGGGAGTTTCAATGTTGTCGGTGGGAGGGGCTTTGGAGCCAAGAGTTTGTTTGCTAAGTTTGCAATGCCCTTTCGACCTCCAAATACTGATCCATGTAGGCAGTTTGGGTGGGAGATCTATCTCTGCAAGCGTTCCAGAAGTCTGTCAACCCATGCAACTGGATGAGCATGGCTGGGAGGGACGAGGTCTGAGTACTGAGTCCTGGGATGATCCAATATTTAGAGGTCTTTAAGAGCAGCAGTTTCCAGTCAAGGAGACTGAGAAGGAGAAGCCAGTGAAATAGGAAGGAAACCAGGAGAGTGGGGTTCCGGGGGTTGAATGAAGGCAGTGTTTCAAAGAGGGACTGATGAACCATGTCAAGTGCTCCTGAGAAAGCAAGATGGGGATGGAGAATGGACTCAGCACCATGGCACATACAGTGACCTTGATAAGAGTGGTTCCAGTGAGTAGTAGGGAAGAGCAACTGCTGAGAGTAGGTACAGGAAAAATGAGTCAGGAAACAGAAACAGAAAATACAAACACACATTAAAGGACTTTGCAATAAAGGAAAAGAGAGAAATGAGGCAGCAGCCAGGGATGAACCTGGGGTCAGGGGAGGGGTTTGTAAGATGAGGGAAGTTACGGGTTGGTATGTTGTGTGTTGATGGAAATAACCCATAACATGCTATACCAGTAACAAAGCTGATGGTGCAAGGGGTGGGGGCTATTGCAAGAGCAAAGGCTTGAGGTGGGTGAGTGTTCCATGATGGAAGAGGCTAACCTTAATGGGAGCGAAGACCATCCATCTGGGTAGGTAGGTTTCTTGGTGGTAGTTTCAAATGGAAGTTCTCTTCTTATTTCTTCTACGTTTTCAGTGCAATGAGAAGCAGAGTCATCAGCGGAGGCCATGGGTTTGAGGAGAGAGGAGGTGTTAAATAGTCAGCAGTAGGATCTCTTACAGTGATTTGAAAGGGTGTGGTTTTTTTGTTGTTGTTGTTTTGGGTTTGTTTTTTGTTTTTTTGGTGGTTGTTGTTGGCTCAGCTCTTTTGAAAAAGAGAAATAAAATAATTTCTTACCCTTGATATTAGAAACTATCTTATGGTCTTTTCGAGAGCAAGAATTCCACAGTTTGAACACTGGGCTCACCACTCTCCTAGCTCTACATCCCTCAGACTTTCCTCTTTCTTCATTATCTGAAATGATGCTCTGTAGCCTTGGCTTCCTGGGCTCACGAGATCAGAATCAGCTTCAGTGGCTCTCTGCCCTTCATACTATGTTCCCAGTGGTGGTGAGAAGTCTGGTCAAGGAATTAGCAGACCTGGCTTCTAGAGCCGTTGTTGGTTGTGTGACTTTAGGGATGTCATTTAACTTCTCTGTGCCTTAACTATAAATCTGAGTTGACAGAATTATCTCCCAGATCAAAGAAACCCAGTGTCCTAGTTAGTCTGTACATCTCCTTTGTAAGTAATTTTAAGATTTACATCGGGATTTTTGAAATAGTGAGAAGATAGTGGGACTGTCATGACCATTCTTATAGGCTACTAAGGACCTGGCAACCCCAGGGACAGTGCAACGGGAAGAGGGAGCACCTTCCCTCTGTCATTCCTGATCCACAGACAGGATGTGATTCTCAAAGGCCCCTACAAAAAGGGACTTTCTTATTCTTCCTCACACAGGTGAGAGCTTGATGAATTGCCCAGAGATCCCTGGGCGGTTGGGAAGCAGTTTACTGCTGTCCCTGGCATCTGAAGGGATAAGTAAGGGCATGAACAAGAGCATCCACATCCTCGTCACCAGAGCAGAGTCACCGGGAAACAGTGTCAAGAAGAAGGTAGCGTCTCTGGACCTTCCAGAAGGGGGTTCTCCGCGCTATCTGGAAAATGGCTATACATTTCATCTGGAAAACCTGAGCCTGGGGATCCTGGAAAGCAGAAAGGAAAATGAGGGCTGGTACTTCATGACCCTGGAGGAGAACTTTTCAGTTCGACACTTTTGTCTGCAGCTGAAGCTCTATGGTAATAATGGGGCTTCCCCAGTCTGCACGGGTCAGGGTGGGGGGCACCCGAGATCATCCTTTACCTAAGGATTTAGGCGTCTCTCAGAAGCAAGAGTATCCAGGGTTGGGAGCAACTTGAAAGGTCACCTAGTCTAGGGTGTTTAAACTGTGCTTTAGGAAGAGGTTTTAGAGATTCACAAAACTTTTTTTGTCCAAATTGCTCACTGATGGTAGTTGATTAGCACTAGTTAGCCCTACCCCCATTTCCCAAAGAAAAGGAACCCAGTTGCCTATGGACTATAGGGCCTGTGGTCCCAAGAGTCTCAACTAGCAAATAAGACTTGGTTTGAAAAAAAGGTTTTTCCCCTCAATTTTTAAAATGTTTGAATACCATAGATCGAGCCCAACATCTTTTCCATCGATGAGGACGTTGAAATCCAGGGAGAAGTGGTTGGCTTGTGCTTATACAGGTCTTTGTGGGTGGTTCCCTGAATCATCCCATGCACCACTCACATGCCCTGTGCTCTGGCACAGGACCGCATCCACCTGGGGGAAAAGCAATTTTCTCATTGAAACGGAGGCTCTGGTTATAAAGCCGCTCAGCTGCAGAACTTGAACTAGAACATAGGTCCATCTGAATCCAAGGCCAGTGCTTTTTTGAGCCTCTTTAACTGCCAGCCCCTCTTGAACGCATGCAGAGTTTGTGTCTCTTTGGCCCAGAGGCTCTTTGAATTTCCAGGAATCCTGACAACAGCCATGCAGGTTGTCCTGCTTTCTCATAGAGAGACTTTCTTGTCTTTGAGACGGGACAGAGAGCCCCACCTACCCAGCATCCCCCTTCCTCCGCATAGTGTATGCAGTCTCCCCTCAGCCCTCTGCCAGGTACCGGAGAGCTCTGACTACTCCAATAGTGGCCTAGGGATGACACATCATGCATCTTCTAGAATAGTTCACTGCTTTTGTCACATCTTGTCACATAAATTCTTACCTTGGAAGATAACAGTTTCTGCAACCATGAAAGAAAGAGGCCGGGTTTCAGAGTCAGACAGCCTTAGGTTCTGATCTCAGCTTGAGTGATATTATGTGAGACACTCCACCTCTCTGGGACTCAGTTTCCTCATCTGTAAAATGGGAATACTTATAACTAAGGTTATAATTGTTGAGAAAGTTGTCGAGAAGATTAGAGACTATGATAGACGTAAAATTCCAGAATCATGCCCATCCTACAGTAGTTGCTAAATAAGTACAACCTGCCCCCTTGCCTTGGCCATTTCACAGCATTAGAGTGAGGTCCCCACCCCTGCCCCACTGCCCGACACAGACACACACAGACACAGACACGGACACACACACACGGACACATAGACACACAGACACACACTCACAGACGCCCACCCATCCACCCACGCACACACTCCAGGTAACACCCCACCACTATGTCATTCTTTCATGTCTAGAGGTAATACTTTAGCCAATGAAAATTAAACCATGCAGGATTAGTTGGCAGAAAATACCACAGGTAGAAAACAGAAGAGCAACTCAGATTGGGAGCATCAGCAAGAGCAAGCAGATTCCTAACAGTAGTGGTAGGAGGGAACTAAAAGACAAATGATTTTTCCCTATTTTGTGCTGAGGTCGTACTGGAAAGGAGTAGAGTGGAGAGAGAGGGATTTGGGGGAACCAGCAGATCCCCACTAGAAATAAATCATACTGCAGACCCACAGGGAGGGAAAACTACCATTAGGCTGCATTTTCTTCTAACAAGAAGGTCACGTTAGAATCCCAGGGGGCTCAGTGATGGCTTCCTTCCTCCCCCTCCTGACAGAGCAGGTCTCCACTCCGGAAATTAAGGTGTTGAACTGGACCCAGGAGAATGGGAACTGCAGCTTGACCCTGGCCTGCGAAGTGGAGAAGGGGGACTATGTGGTTTACAGCTGGAGTGAGGAAATGGCTACCGACCCACTGATACCAGCCAACGGTTCTCACCTCCTGCACCTTAGCCTCGGCCCTCAGAATATCAACAATGTCTACTTCTGCACCGCGAGCAACCCCATCAGCAGCCGCTCACAGACCTTCACCCCGCAGTCCAAGTGCAGGCCAGAATCTTTAGGTGAGTGCCCTGGTGGGGGCGGGCATGGCACATTGATGATATGGGCTCAGTCCTCACCTGGAGTAAATAAATGCTCTGCTCCCATAGCTGTGGCCTCCACCTTGGTAATAACACTTTCCATTTTCTCTATAGTTGAGAAAAGCCTCCTCATGTGCATTCAGTGAATTGCCTCAGCTCATAATCACCAGGTTGACATTATGCTCAGTTCATACTTGAGGACAACAATAAGAAATGATGGGGCCAGACGCAGAGTGCAGGCCTCCCAGTTGTAATTCTTCCTCTCTCCCCTCCTGTCTTGGCTCCAAGCTGCAAGGGCAGCTGGGTGAGAGAATGAAGGTGGCAGGTCCCGACTCCCCAGTCCATACCCCACTAATGGTGGGTCAGGTCTGTACCATCAATAAGTACTGTTGACCACCTATGCACAGAAAATTGGGCATGGATATGATACATGATCTCTGCACTCCAGCAACATGTTGTAAAGATAAGACATGAAATGTTTGCTCAATAATGAAAAGCAGGATATAATGAAGGGCCACATTTTATGGAATGGACTGTGAATCCCATAGCAAGTCAAAGGCCAGGGGGGGAGTCAGCTCTCAGACTGAGACCTGGACTGTTTGGGAATAATAATAAATGATGTAGTACTTTGTTATTGGCAGAGCACTTTCAATGGTATGATCTCTTTTGATCCTCACAATAACCTTACCAGATACGTGGTATCATCGTCTTCATTGTACAGATGAGGAACTTGAAGGTCGTAACATTTAAGTACCCTGCTCAAGTTTCTTCAAATTATAAACAGTAGAATCAGCACCTGCACTCATACCTTCTGACTGCTCAGTCTCCAGGAAGAAGAGCCTCGTTATTCCGCTGTCGGAGGAAGGGAGGGCTGATTAAGTAGTTGTTTGAGGTCGGAAGCAGGAAAGACAGACCACTGAGCCTTTTCAATAACAGATTGTGTGTCCATGCCTCAGGGGTGTACAGGGACAGAAGGACCTGGGTTTTGGCCTTCAAAGAATTACCTATGTTGTGACATTCTCCTTCCTGCATCCACCACAGGGAACAGGAGTCATTCCAAGGAGACTTCAGCCCACAATAGACTTGGTGTCTGTGCAGGAGGCTTTATAGAGTTTACAGAAGGTAGCCCCAGGGACCCTCGACCCAATGCTGTTCTGTTTACTTACAAGGATAAGGTCACTTCACCTGTCTAAGACTTAGATTCTTTATCTAAAATAATAACAACTGACAGACCTTAATTGTTTATTGTGTGCCACTTAGGTGGAATCTCATTTAATCTTCACAGCCACCAAATAATATTAGTATTCCCACTTCATAGATGAGGAAAGAAAGATATCAAAAGGTCACACACAGAGCAAGTAACAGCTGAGCTGTCTGATCCTGGAATCCTCACAGGAATTAGTGGAAGAGATAATGCACAAAAATCGCAGGGTTTTTTCTTGGGGGCACAAGCTTCTGTGGTTATAGCAACCCTCTTAAAGCAAAGACAGGACACCAAGTGTTTTACCCTGGCCCATCTCAAAAAAGGAAGAACTCTCTTCATGCTTCTCAGTGTGGCTTAAGAAGAATTGAATTAGTGCATCCCAAAGTCTTGATAGTTCATGAAGCTTAGGTAGGGGCACTTGGCTCAGGACATTCTAAAGAAACATGTGAAGATGCTCCTACTTACCTAGGCTACATTAAGGACCAAGTATGCACAATATGACCAGCTTTACTGAGTATGGAACAGGCTCTACTGAGGGGTGAAGGAACATGAACAACAGAAACATGGCGTCGTGAGAAAGCCCTGTGAGGATCTCAACTCAGCTGTTAGGAGAACCACCTGACATGAGGCAGTCTTTTCACTGTCTTGGGCCCCTGTTCCATCATCTGTAAAATGAAAAGGGTGACCTAGTGAAGTTCTGTCCAGAGTCCATATTCTATGATTCAGTTTGCACGTACATTCATAAGAAGTGCTAACAAAAGGTTCCAACAAGTATTAGTCTGCTGGGGCTGCTGTAACAAAGTACCTCAAATGGGGTGGCTGAAACAACCCAAACTTATTGTCTCACAGTTCTGGAGGTTAGAAGTCCAAAATCAAGGTGTTGGCAGGGCTGGTTCCTTCGGAGGCTGTGACGGAGGGGTCTGATGAGGTCCCTCTCTGTGGCTGGCAGGTGGCTGTCTTCTTCTGTCTGTTCACACTGTCTCCCCTTGAAGCATATCTCTGCTCAAATTCCCCCTTCTTATAAGGACACTGATCATATTGGATTAAGGCCCCCCTGTAACTAGGGCTGCCATAACAGAATACCACACACTGGGTGCTTGAATAACAGAAATTTATTTTCTCACAATTCTGGAGGTTAGAAGGCCAAGATCAAGTGTTGGCAGGGCTGGTTTTTCTTTCTGAGGCCTCTCTCCTTGGCTTGCAGAAGGCTACCTTCTTGCTGTGTCTCTATAGGGTTTTTCCTCTGTGAATGCACATCCTGGTGCCTCTTTTTGTGTCTGGATTTCCTCTTCCTATAGGGACACTAGTAAGATTGATTAGGGCTTCCTCTAATGGCTTAATTTTAACTTAATCACGTATTTTAAGATCCTATCTTCAAATACATTCACATTCTGAGGTTCTAAGGGTTAGGGCTTCAACTTAAGAATTTGGGAGGGATACAATGCAGCTCATAGTGCCACCCTGATGACCTCATTTTAACTTGATTACCTCTATAAAGACCCAGTTTCCAAATAAGGTCATGTTCTAAGGACTTCAACATATGAATTTTGGGGGGGAAACACAATTCAATCATAACACAAATAGAGATCCCTCCGGTGCCTGGGTGGCTCCGTTGGTTAAGTGACTGCCTTCAGCTCAGGTCATGATCCCGGAGTCCCGGGGTTCGGGTCCCGCGTCGGGCTCCCTGCTCAGCAGGGAGTCTGCTTCTCCCTCTCATGCTCTCTCACTCTCTCTCTCTCAGATAAATAAATAAAATCTTTAAAAACAACAACAACAAAAAAAAAACAAATAGAGATCCCTCCTCCCTTCCTCTAAGGATGAGGGACAGCAGCACATCAAAGATTACATAGCTGGTCTGTGGCGTACCATTCCTAGTCCACCAGGCTGCCTAAAGACAGAAAGCAAAGTTTTATTAGTTTATTGATTTGTGTTTGCAAATGAATATTATTAATTCTTAAAATATTGTGCTTAGTTTGACAAAACTTTTATTGAGCTTCTACTATGCTCCAACACTGTGCTCGGTGCTGAGTACACAAAGACGAAAAAAGACATGATTTTTGCCCTTAAGGAAGAAGATAGTTTCTGTAAATAACCGATCCTAGATTGTGTGGTGTGATGGGCAGAATGGAGGTAAAAAGAGGGAGTGATGATGGATACCATCAGGAGGAATCAGAGAGAGCATCATAGAGGATGTGACATAAACTGGATTTTGAAGAATAAACAGAAATTATCCAGGCAGATAAAAGAAAGACATTCCAGGCAGAAGGAAAAGCAGAGGCACCTGGGTCTTGTCCGGTATTATCCTATAGGCAATGGGAAGTAATAAAGCTTTTAGGTAGAGGAGTAACATGATCACCTTTGCGTTTCAGAGAGAAAATTCAGTGGTGTGGAGAAGAGGTGGGGGCAGGGCAGAGGCAGCAGAAAGAGAAACTAGTTGTGGGGAAGAGCTACCATTGCAGTGATCCATCAAGAGACGACAAGGCCTGGACCAAAGCAGTGACCATTAGTTTAATGAAGACTTCATACAAGGGACTTTCCAGTCTTGGGATGAAGTGGTGGGGTCTGAGAGTTTATTAAAGGTCTCTTCACCATGCCAGTTTTCTAATGACATTTGTCCAGGCTCTCAGTCATATATATTCATCCTTTTTCCAATTGCCACATCATTACTTTACAGTAAGAGACATCTTAATGTCTCTTGCTATGAAGCATCTTTATTGCAAAGTCCAAGTCTTAGTTTGCTTACAGAGCACTCTCGGGGAGTCATGCAAAGCATGTTCATGTGGGTCAATCGTGTGTAACCTGCTGTTGTTCTTCATGACCATCCTCTGAAATAGTTGTATCTATGCTAGAATGAATAATACAAAACCTTAAGTAATTCAGCTAAAAGGGAATGCCCCTGGAAGCTCATCTTGAAAAGAGGACCCTTTTCAGTAGATTAGCAGAAAGTTGGCTCAGCAAGTCTGGGTTAGCTCAGAGGAAGAAACAAATGACACCTACCAGTGAGCCCCAGGGGCTCCCCCTCTCTGACAAGGACTTTCTAATAATGGGAGCACCCACTGCTACAGAGTCATCTAGACGTTCCATGCACAGAGGCAAGTCCCTCTTCATGGTACTCCCAGTCAAGTAAGCATGACAATAGTGGTAGAAGGATGGAACCTGGTACCTCTCACGGGCCTTGTTTCATGGCCACAGCTGCTGCAAGGGAAGCTGAGATGGGTAAGCCCAAGCTGGACAGCCATGTGACTGGACAAGGTTTGTGCTGCCATGGAAGTGTGGGGGCAAACTGTGGGCACAGCTGCCAGCCTCTGACCCACAATGCTGGTTGGGACAGGCAATGTAAGGGGTTTTTCTGGAAACTGTGAACTCTGTAAAAATGTGTACTTGGATGGTCCCAGATCTCAAATTAGTGCATGGTTTGTGTGAGCATCCTTCCCCCACCCTCAATTCTGAGTGGAAGCCACCATCAACAAGAAGGTGGGTTTTTTTTTTGTTTTTCTTTTTTTGTTTTTTTGTTTTTTTTTTAAGATGGCTGGCTTCTTCAAGTAGTTGCGTGCCTTGCAGACTGCTTGCTGACAGAACCACATGAAAGGCAGGAAAGAGATCTAGCATTCTCAGACCGTTATGGTAGCGTCTTGGATCTCCTGGGGGCAAACTATATTTGTTTCTCAGAGTCTTTTTTGTTTACTTCTTTATCTCCTTAAAGAATAAGTTTTGGGGACTTGAAGGAGGTGAGAAGCTTTTGTGTTTCTGTGGCAGCAGACTTTTAAAGATAAAAAACGTCCTCCAGCATTCTCCTTGGAGGCATGCCTACTTGCCAAGTTGTCACGGTTTAAACCACAGCCAGTAGGGTAGAGGAATGGTGCTGGAGTTCTCAACCGGCCTCCTTGGCTGCTTCTAAGAGGCTCCAGGGGGGAAAGGCCCCAACCTTCTGTACGGGAATATTCAGATTCGGTTTCTTTGCGAATGAACGAACAACATTGCTCTGATTGCTGAGCAGCGCCGATCTGAGAGTCCTCACTGAGGAAGAAGATGGAGAACTGGAGTCTTCTGTCACAGGAAACAGTGGTTTGAAAATGGGAACACAGGTGGTGCTGAGGGCACAAGCACGCCCTCTTTTTCTGGTTCCATTTCATTATTGTGAAGCATATGCTAAGTAGGTCATCACTCATTCCCATCGATTCCTGCTTTGAGCCATTCAGAAGTAACCCTGCATTCCTTCTGAGACCTTCTGATATTCAGCGCTGTGATCATTCTTAACCAAAGGATACAGGACAGTCCTCCCCCCAGCTTTGTTTTATGGCTTCTAATTTAATCTACCTTCCTTCATCATGCGCTTATTAAGTGCCCCCCTAACCCTACGTTGTATCAGGTGGGAGGCAGTGCAAATAAAGCACAAGGAACAGAGTCTACCTTCTGGAATTTACAATCTAGGTGGGACCTTACTAGGTAGGAAAATATTATCGTCTTAAGAAACCTCTACTAGAATTCTTCTCATAAGGAACAGGGTACCTTCATGTAAATGTTAGAGGGCAGAAGGTAAGACCCACCCCAAGGAATCCAGCTGTGGGTTATATGATTCTGTATGAGAAAGGGGACAGATATGGCTTGTGCAGATATAGGAAGAGAAAAAGAGGGTCTGAGCCTGTCAGATGGTGGAAAGCTGCCCAGTTTACAATGGACTCTGCTCCCTGTGACCTTTCAGCTCTTCAGTAGAGGATTCATATCCACAAAATTCTTGGTGTAGGTTTTGGGCATTTTTTGTGTGGAAACTGATGAAAGCACAGAGCCTTGCATGCAGGATAGCCCCGACTGCAGCAAGCAGAGCCACAAGAGCAAAGACTTGGAGGACCACCAGGAAGTAATTACCAGAAATTGCAGGAATCCTCTGCAGCCTGACCCCAACAAGCCATAAAAGTAGCATTTTGTCCATGTTTATCCAAATTGCTAAGGGCATAGAGTTTCTGACATTCAGTTTCCATATAAACATTCAAATCACTAGATAATAGTACCAAATAGATGAGCACCAAGTGCAAGACCACTTAGACCTGCTAGATAGGGAAACCAAGTCATAAGCAAACAATAGGATGGGGCTGGAGTGTCTCTGAACACCAGTGAAGGGACTTCTCTGGATGTGAGATCAAACCTATCTTCTGTCTTTCCAATCAATCAATAGGATCTACTGTGTGTCAAGTCCTAAGACAGCCACAAAAGAGGTAAAGAGGTGGCCTCTGGCCTCTGAGAGGCTAGCAGCTAGGTTGGGGATTTGAGGCTAGTGGAAGGAGCTGACATTTCTGCACCACATTTATGCTCCAGGCATTGCTCTGGGCACTTCCCATAATTATTTCCTTGGCTTGTTAGAAAGACTCTGTGAACTAAATATTGTTGTACTCATTTTGCAATCAAGGAGACTGAGGCCCCAGAGGTTATGAGCAATCTATCTGAGGTCGCAGAGCTATCAAGTGGTAGGTACAGAATCTGAATCCACCTATCTGGTTCCAAATGACCTCGCTGAAAATGGTCTGCACCGCAACGGTAGTGTCACAACTCAGGTTCTAAGACACATGACGAAAACCAAGGTGCTGCAGAGTCCCAGGTAGAAGGAAGAATGGGAGCTGGAATGGTTAGGGAAGCTGACACAGAGAGGGTAGAATTGGCCTGGGGGCCAGCATTGGGCAGGCCTGGTGGGCAGCTGAAGGTTGAGTGGGGGGGGGGGCACAGCACAGGGGTCAAGAATGGGCGGGTGTTGGAGGGAGGATGTTGACGGTATGGGTACCTCCCAGGGCTTTCCTTGTGGCAGGCCCATCGCCATAGGGAAAAACACAAAATGTCAAGTCTTCATCCTGCCCAGCTCTGCCATTGGCTTCTCTGTGACTCTGGGGACACCTCTGAATCTCAGGGTCCTCAACATAAAATTAGTGAGTTGGGTAAGATAGTGCAATAGCTCCTTTAACAATTAAAAGCCTCTGTGGACCTATCACTTAAGTCCTTGAACAGATTCAAATTACTTTATATCCAAAGACTAAGAGAAAAATTAGGGCTTATGAAATATCTCTCAGGACAAAGGCCTCTCAGATCTGGCGGGAGACAAGCAGATGCTGAACATTTATGTTATAGGACAAGGATAGCAGATGGCTCTCATCCTCCTGACTCCCTGGAAAAGCCAGAGAAGGCTGGGGTGCAGTCCTTTTTAGTTCATGTGAGAAGGTGAACCACAGAGCGTCAGCAGCAGGTACCAGGCGACAGGGGAAAGGCTTGCTTGGCAGGTGTTCCCAGTGCAATTTTGTTATCTGCTACGTTGTGGTTCAGAGGCAACCCCTTGTTGGTTGGTTTTACTTTATTTGTATCTCAAAGGATATTTGAGAGAAATAGTACCTTTTAAAAGGATTGAAATGGTTGGAGTCTTTGTTCTTAAATGAACTGTTGTTTTAGAAGGTCCCAACCTAGGTGAGGGACGAAGGAAGAGGAAAGAGTCTCAAAACAGTCAGAACAACTGTAACAATCTGCTGGGTCAGTACCACGGGCTGATGGAACACGATGGGGCTTGGCTGCTGCCGTGCAAGTGTCAACTGTGTTTAGAGCCTTAATGCTATTACTGTAAGTCTCTCTGACTCTCCAAGAAGTCTGTCTTCAGCATTCAGCCACATTTCTACCCCTAGACCAAGCTCTAGTATATGAAGGTCTCCGTGCCTGCTTCCTTATGCACAAAATGGGAGTAATGAGAGTAACTACCTTGTAGGATTGTTGTGAGGTTTAAATCCATTAGTACACACAACGCACTAAAAATAAAGCCTGGCCCATTGACAATGCTCCATAGTTGTCTGTTATTATCGGAGTAAGCTGGATGTCTTGTTTGCTGGGGCATTAGGTCTCATTCACTGTTTTTCAAGGTACTGCTCCTGGCTTGGAAGGATTTGGCGAAGTGCGTACAGGAGAGAAAGCAAAAAGAAAGAAAGAAAGAAAAAAGTAGCTCTATGACCTCGAGCCTGGCTGACTGCTACTCTAGGACTTGTATTAAGCACTGGAATCCCTGAGAGGGAAACATACATGCTTTTGTTTCAGTTCAGGTTCAGTGGGTTCAATACAGTTATTTGCATGGGAGGACAATAATAGTACTATTATGTTTATTTTTAAAGAAGAAAAGTTGGTCGTTCTTCCTCCCAGTGTCACATGAGCGTGGTGTGAGAGTGTGGGGACAGCAGGTGGAACCGGCATGTTCTCTTTACCAAAACCGTTGCAGGACTCCTCAGAGACTTAAAACCAGGGAAATGGGCAAGCGATGTGGACTTGGGACAGACAAAGATGTGTCTGATTTTGGATACGTGGTCATGCAGGTGAAAATCAAGCATTTGAATAGAAAAACCGCTACAGGAGTTAGGACATTTCCATAGGAAATTAAGAAAGTCAAATATGGTGAAAAGAATTAGGGTAAGAGAAGAGGTAGGAAATCGTTAGTGGTCTGCAACTGCTGTCTGAAACCATTAGAATGGATGTGTCCCCTGAGAGAGAATATAGACAGAGAGCACGGGGCTTGGTCTCCCCACTTCCGTGAAGGATGTTTTTAAACTTACAGTACTGTTGAGATTGCCCTTTGACTTTTTTTTTTTTTTTTCCAGAATCAACACAATGGGGACTGTATGCTGGGCTGTTCTTAGGGGGCATCGTTGGTGTCATCTTGATTCTCGAAGTGGTAATACTGCTGTTGAGAAGAAGAGGTAGGTGTCTGCCAATAAAGAGATTCATATCAGACTCTGTGGTAAGCAGGGAACCTCTCCGCACAGGCAGATCTGCTTGCACCGCTCTGGCCTTTCTGCCGGAAGCACCTTTGCAATAACACTAAGTACACATATCCTGGGACCTCGCTCAATTCAGTCTAATTCAGTATGTCTTGATCCCTAATTAGGCCATGGGGATGGAAAGAGGGATGAGCCACAGAGGTTGAATGTGGGAGACACGACAGAGATCGTTCATGTTCAATATGACTAGCGCTGCTGGGGTGGAAGGTACAGGATGCTGAAGGCATCCAGACAAGAGACTTGACAACGTTCACTAGACACAGAATCCAGGGGACCCTTGGATCTTGTTCAAGAAAAGTTATAATTACGGACCAAGAAAAAGGGGCATTATAATAAGATGTTTTCAGCCAAGGGTTGAAACTTTTCTACAATCTCTTTTTATTCTTGCAATTTCCCTCCAAGAATAGTAAGTTAGTTGTCTCTACGTGACTTAGCAATGGGGTAACAGAGGCACAGAGAAGCCTTGTGACTTGTGCAAGTTCACCCAGCCAGCTAATGAGAGAACCAGAACTGTATGTCTCCCAACAACCAGGCCACGTGCCACCGGGACGACCCACAGCAGAGGGAACGCTTTTTACTAAGGTTTTTACACAAATTCTGACTCATCTTGGGAAACTGTACAATTTGCGAGGTTGCTTAAGGCCTAACTAAACAGTAGAGAAGATCTCCCCGGGGAGTTATTAAGGCCCAGTTATTCCCTGGCAGTTTAAACGCCTAGGGGATGTGTCTCCTGGCCTCCCCTCCAAAGGGCCCCCTGGTTCCACGTCACAGGGAAATGTGCTCGGCCACACTTTCATCACCCACTCGCACCGAAGTCAGAAGGTCCTTTCCCCAGACCAGGATAGGTCCCTGGGCTGGCCTTCCCACGGTGAGGACAGGACTTGATCCTCACACCACCAAGTCGATGGCTGATCTTATTCTCAAGTAGATCAGCGTTCTCACGTGTAACCTTCTCAAAAAAGCCCTTACCACAGCACTCTTGCTGGGTTTGCTTGTATAAGAAAGTCTAGATCACAGCACATCCACCTACTTTTATCTCATTTCCTCCAACTAAGAGTTAGATGGGGAGTGGTGAGGGTAGGGTGAGTCAGACAGAAACTGTGATGAAAGCCTAAGGCGATGGGGCAGGGCACCCACATTTGGCTGGATAAGAAGGAAATATTGAGATACCAGGATTGAGAAAACGGAGATTAACGCAGCCATGCTAACCTAGCCGGAGTGGGTGCCAGGATCCTAACTCACATTCTTTCCTCAACCACATTCTGCTCATCGCATGTTTGTGCTCTGAAGGGAATAATGCCCCCCATCTCCCCACAAGTCCCTGTCACCCTCGTCAGCACACATATCCATCCTTGTTTCCAGCCACCCTGTACTCCTTGTAAGCCAGGAACATGAAATCCTGGCCTCAAACCTACGGGAAAACCTACATTAATTCCTGTACCCTTTGCAAGACTTTGTTTTGATTCTGTTAGCACTTTCTAATGCTGTCACCTCCAAAATGCTGCCTGGCTCTGAAGGTGTTCAAATGGTTTCTCTGGCAATTTCATATCCAGAATACAGGGGTTAAAAACATAGGGTTTGGCATCAGACAAACTTACATTCAAATGCAGACTTTGCCACTGACAAGCTATGTGACTAAATAAATGAACTCTCTTCTGCAAAATGGGGATGATATTATGTACCACATGGTATTGTTGTGGGGATCCATGAGTCCATACACAGAAAGTACCAAATACAGTGGCATCCATGCTTAGACGATGGATCATGGACAGGTGCATGATGGATGGATGGATGGATGGATAGATGGATGGATGGATGGATGGATACTTACACACATAGACAAATCTTTTAATGGAGTTGAATTAACACATCAATGTTTAAGTCCTATGGCCAGCAGGGGGTGGCACAAGGAGCATCTGGGAATAGTCCTTAGAACCAATTTAAGTACATGAAGTCCTGCTAACAAAGGACAATTTTGTGCTTCAGGACACAGTAGGAAAGGACATTACACAGTCTACAACTTCATTTTACAGTTATGGTAAGAGGCCTTCAAGTGCCCCAGAAACAGAGGGGTGAGAAAGCTGAGTGAAGCAACGTACAAGAAGCGGGAGAGTACAAAAGAGTAATGAGCCCTGTAGAATCTTATTAGGAGACTAGATATGCACATTGAACAATAGAGATTAAAATAATTGAATGGCATTCCAATTGCATGGAACACATACTGGGAATTTACTACGTGCCAGGCACTGTTCTAAACACTTTACAAATAATATCTCCTGTGATCATCACAACAACCCTGGGGGTGCAGATACTTCAGTCCCATTTCACAGATAAAGAGAATTACAGAGATGGAGTAACTAACCTAAGGTCATGTGACACATGTGTTGGGACTTGGTGTTTGTGCCTTTGGGACTCCTGGGACAGGTGGGGAGGTGGTGGGGGGTAAAGACCAGACAGGTCTGAGCAGAGTTTGTGGGCATGCCAGACAGAGATAACCACTGTGGTTTCTTTTCCCCAGGTAAAGCAAATCATTACCAGCCAACAATGGAAGCAAAAAGCCTTACTATTTATGCCCAAGTCCAGAAATCAGGTGTAAGTTCTCTATTTTCTTTGTCTGGGGTGGGCCTGCTTCCCTGTGGGATTCCTGACCAGTCCATCTTGCAAAAGGCATTAAACTTCAGTGTCAGATGGGACTATTTGTTATTTGAAATAATGGAAAACACTGGGTACTCTTCTGGTCATCCACGTCTTCTTAGGGAAAAATGAAGAAGCAAGAAACACATGACACACGACTCCTCCAGCCCTGGCGTTCCGAGTGTCTGTGGTTCCCTGTTACCAAACTCTCCCCTCTCTAGGGACAAGGGTGCAGGCTTGAGGTCAGAAGGAAGGTGCAGTAAGGCTGTTGTATGATGTGCTGGTCTGAGCTGTTGTATGATGTGCTGGTCTGATCCAAGTGTAGGGGTTTGCAAAGCACCATGGAGACAGGGAAGGAGGATCTTGAGGATTTTGGCTGGGTAGATGGAAGGTGATATGTAGGCTGGAGATGAAAGACCTGATGGAAGGCAGTTGGACTGAGGGAGAGCCACGATGAAGTTGAGGAGCAGGTATGTTAGGCGTAAGAGGGAGGCTAAAGGAATATGGTTAGATGGGTAGATACTCTAGTTCTTCAGACATGAAGGCAATTCTAGGTAATGTACAGACCAGAATCTGGCCATTCAGAGGACTCTAGGACAAAGCTCTTATTTCTGCTGCCCTCTAGTGGCTTCGAGGGTTTAATACATAGGCCATCACTACCGCTGAGAACCAGGCTCCGTTTAAATATAGGAGAGTCCCAAGAGCAAACTCCACCCTTGCATTTACACATTTGGTAACCAGTTTCAACTTTAGCATGGTGCCTTCCCTATCTACTCTGTCTGATGCTGTTCTTTTTACTGTAAACTATGACATATATACCAGAAGTGCACAAAGTATAAATGTCAGCTCAATGAATTACCCTATCGTGTTATCTAATAAAGCAAATCTTCCCACCTTGTTTTTCTCCAACAGTTTTCAACTAGTCTTGTCCCTTCGTACTTTTGTATATATTTCAGAATCAGCTTCTCAAGTATCAGAAAAGGGGAGAAAATCCTATTAGGATTGCATTGAATCTACAGATTTGAGGAGAAATTACATCTTTCAGTATTGAGTCCTCTAATACCATATAGCCACCAGCCAGATCAAGGAACAGAACATTGCCAGCAACCCCCACAAGACCTCCTGTACCCACTCTTTCATCTCTATTCTCTCTCTCCTCACCAAAGATATCACTGTCCTGACTTCTAAAAATATATTTTAGCGTGCTCTCTCTCTCTCTTTCTTTAACTTTATAAAAATGGGATTCTACAGTATTTTTCCTCTTGGGTCTGGTTTTTTCCCCTCAGTATTACTTTCATGAGATTCATATGTCTTTGTGCTTGGATATAATGCATTTATTTTCATTGCTCTATAGAGCATCACTGCATGAATATACAAGAGTTCATTTATCTAGTTGACTATTGATGGACACTTGGGTTATTTCCAGTTTGAGACTATTATAAAAATTCCAACTATGAACATCCACATGTGTATCTCTTGGTAGATATGTGCACCTATTTTTGTTGGGTATGTACCTAGAAGTAGAATTGCTGAATCATACAGTATGCATATCCTCAAATTGGCTAGATAAGGCCAAACTGCTTTTCAAAGTGAGTGCATCAATTTACTTTTAGGCCAGCCACACATTCTAATCAAAACTAGGTGTTATCAGCCTTTTTAATTTTAGTCATTCTGTTGGACGCGTCTTTTTATAGTTTTATTTTGCATTCCCCTAATTATTAAGGAAATTGGACAATGCTTCTTATATTTATTGGTCATATTAATATCCTCTCTCTTAAAGTGCCTGTTAAATCTCTTGTCCATTTTCCTTAGAATTTCAGGCTTTTTTTAAACGATTAGCATAAGTTCTTTAAATGTTTTTAGCTTTTTGGCTTTTTTAATTAAAAAAATTTTTTTGGCAGTTACATTTTAGCAAATACCTTCACCCATTCTGTGTTTCACCTTGGCAATTTCTCAGTGACACCTGATAAAGAAAGGTTCTTAACTGCAGTATAGAGCAATTCAGTAATCTCTTCCTTTGTAGATAACGATTTTTGTGTCCTGTTTGAGAAATCTTTCTCCTACTCTTGGGTAATGAAGATATTCTATCATTTTCTAAAAGCTGTGTGGTTTATCTTTCACATTTATATCTGTTATGTACCTGAAAATGCCTTTTGGAGTAAGGTGTGAGATGGGTCAGGTTTCATTTTTCTCCAAATGGATGTCCTATCGACCACATATTGAAAAGATGGCCCTTGCCCCTGTTAGTGCCATCTTAATCACAAACCAAGAGTCTGTATATGTGAGGATCCATTGTTTTGGTTCTCTATCCTGCTCCCTTTCCTGTTTGTTTAGGCTTGTGCCAGTAGCATACAATCTTTACAAATTCGTTATAGATTACAGATTCATGACAAGTCTGATATCTGGTAAAATGTCTTCTTATTTGTTTTTGTTCTTCTTCAAGAGTTCTTGGCCATTTTCGGTCATTTGTATTTTCATATATATTTTACCTTCAGTTTGTCAAGTTCCACCTAAAAATCCTGCTGGAATTTTAATCAGAACTGCACTGATCACTTTGAGGAGACCATACATACTTATAGTATTGAGTCTTTCCATTCACAAAATAATACATCCTTTTCTTCATGTAGGCCTTCTTTAATTTCTCTAAACAATGTTTTATAGTGTTTTGCATAAGAGACTTGTCCATCATAATTTATTACTTGGCATTTGAGCATTTGAGATTTTGGAATACTATCATCAACATTATCTTTTAAAAATTTTTTAGTTTCTATATATTATAGATACCTAGAAATACAATTAATTTTTGTATTTTAAACTTATATTTGCAACATTGTTAAACTCACTTATAAATTCTAGTCATTTTTCTATAGGTCACTTGGATTTTCTCTGCACAAAATTGTACCATCTATAAAAAAACTACACTATATTTCTTCATTTTCAAACCACATAACTTCTCTTCCTGTTTTACTGGCTGAGATTTCCTATCCAGTGTTGAATGGAAGTGTTAAAAGAGGCATCCTTGGATGGTTCCAAACTCAAAAGGGAAACTTTCAACATCTGGCCATTAAATATGGTTTTTGCTGAAGGTTTTTATAGCTGCCTTTTCATCTGATTGAGAACATTCTCTTCTGTTCCTGGTTTGCTAAGGAATCGGCATTGAATTTTATCAACACACTCTCTGCATCTATTGATATGGATTTTTTATATTATCTTTTTTATTTATCTGCTGAACCACACTGATCTGCAAAGACTACACTGCATTTGCATTCCTGGAATAGAGGCGATGTAGTCTGGTCCTTTTTAAATATCGCTGGGTTTTATTTTATTAATATTTTGTTCAGAGGATGCTGTTGCTGTCCTGTTTGGGCTTCTGAGTGGAATTGGCCTGCATTTCTCCTCTCTTGTAATGGAGGTTTTGACACCAAGATTATGCTAACCTCACAAAATGAGTAAGAGTGCATGTTCATTTCCTAGTGCTACTGTAACAAATGTTTGCAGACATGGAGACTTAAAGCTACAAAGTCATACTCTAACAGCTGTGGAGGCCAGAAGTTCAAGATGGAGGTGTGGGCAGGGCCATGCTCTTTCTGAAAATGTTGCCTTACCTCTTCCAGCTTCTGGTGGCTCCGGGCACTCTTTGACATTAGTTGGCTTGTAGCTACAGAACTCCAATTTCTGCCTCCAC